ATGCTGACACATCTATCTGATGCGGGAAATGGAATGATGGATGGCCTTTACTCCACAAACTCTGGAATTATAATAATAATCCTTATAATAATTGTTGCATTATCAAGTTTTCAACGTTTCCTTTAAAAAACGCTGTCATCACTCCTTTCCTTAAAAAACCCTTTCTGGACCCTTCTCTATTCCCTAACTACCACCCCATCTCCAACCTCCCCTTCCTCTCCAAGGTCCTGGAACAATTTGTTGCTTCTCAGCTTCGCTTCTTCCTCCTTTTTCTTGAGGGATTACTGTTAGGCGTAGGGAGTAAGAAAACTTGCCCACGGTTTTGCCCTGCTGAGAATTGAACCCAGGTCTCTCGCTTGAGAGATGAGTGCTCCAACACTGAGCTATATGAAATGCATGGCGTGTTGTGGAACCATAGTTGATCTAAGTCAACCAAAGTGCTTCCGGCTGAAAAGTTGTATGTGTGAATGCCAGATGAGAATGAAAAGAGGCTTTGGCGTGGTCTTTCACGGTCTGATTTACTGTTGAAACTTGCTCTTGATTCACTTTGTTGAGTTGGCAGATACAGCCAGTATGATGAAATCTGGGACAAAACTCGTGGCCAGAAAGCACCAGCTTATTCTGTTTAGCTGAAATTCTAAATACGGAACCCATCAACAGAGGAACCAAATAATAATAATAATAATAATAATCCTTGCATTTGATATAGCGCTTTTCACGTCGGGAGGACGTCCCAAAGTTGCTTGAATTTTATGTTCAACAGGTTAACAATATGTATAATTTCGCACATAGTATATCTGCTACACATAGGCGGCACATAGGTGGCTAAGGGCTAAAGTGGACGCCCCCCCCCCCAATGTACCTACAGTTACCTCTTTAAAGGGGAGCTAGGAGGGGAAAGCCCTGTGGAGGACCAGGTTCAATCCGATGGGGTGGCATGGGGTGGGGGCGGGGGTGGGTAGGGTGGGTGAGTTAGGGAAACCACTTTTCCCATTCGGAAAATCTTGTAAGCAGCATAAAGCCGTCATTGTTGAAACTGAGAGGGGCATTAGATATGGGGAGTGTGGTCCTGAAGTACCCTTAAATCCTGACAATGGTGTGAGTTGAATTATGTGAAAATGGTTTATCTTGATGCACCAGAGGGCACTATAACTGTGATGATTTCCTCAAACGTGGGAACAGGTTAACTTAGGTATTCGTAGCAGTCAGCCATCCACTAGTTTCATGCTGGGGCTTTGTGCCCAGCAATGTTCGTTCCACAAAACAGCCATGAAGTGAATAACTGATTTTTGTTCTTACAAATATGGGCACTGGATGTGTACAGTATCTCAGAATTTGATTTGGCTTTCCTGTAACTCGCTGGCTTTTCCAGTTGAAGTAACATCCATTGCCTTACAGGAAAAGCAAATCAGATGCACGTCCTGTGCTCTTTTTTTAGCTTCATCAAACAAACAAAAATCCTTTTCACATAACATAGGGTCTTGGAGCCCTTTACAGACCACAACAAACTCAAAAAGCAGTGTAGCGGAGAGTGTTAGAGGAATGAGCTACGCGCAATGATTAGATAAGATGAGGCCTCTTCAGTCTTCAAAGGGGGCCTTATAGAGCCACAAAACATCTGAAAAACCAAGAACAATGCTTTAGGATGCACCAAGAGTTGCAAAGGGAAATTTCAGGACAGACACCAGGACGTTTATCCTTACCCAGAGGGGAATTGACAACTGGAATTGGGGTTGGAAGGCCAGGACACTGAAGGCACTTTCAGGAGAGAAATAAAGAGATATTTGTTTCCAAAGATGTATCTAAACAGTGGTGATTAAGCCGGATGTGACCCACAGTGACCCCTCACGCTAGTCTAGCTGAGTCTGTTTTAAATCAATGTTGTGTTTCCAGTTTTCTCTCGATTGCATATTTCTGGATTCACCGCCAATAACATGCCTGAAACATTTATTTTCTGCCGTTGTCCTTAAAGCTCCAAACAGACAAGTCACAGAAATCTGTGTTATCTGAGCTGAATAAAACTTTTAACCCTTGTGTTGTTTGACCAGGAAATCAATTAGAGGAATTGTTCGGTCAAGCTGCAAATACAGGGTACACTACAGCTTATAGAGTTTCACGGTTCAACTTGAAAGAATCCACTGGAGCTCACTAAATGTTGCTAGCATGCCTGTGTTTTTTATTTATGTTTTTAAAGTGATTTGAAGGTCTCTGGTGCTTAGGTCGGTTTCATCAACATCCTGTTTATGCTCTCATTCTGCCAATTCTTATTGTTTCTCAATGCTTTTTGGCTCAAAGGCCACAGCGGAGGCGGGATGTACAAGAGCACAGGGCATATGTTGCTGAGTCCCAAACAAATTTAAATCCTTAAAAGCATATCGCCCGAGGCAATCACTCCTCCTTCTCCTCCTTGGCATCGAGTCACACAGACCTAAAGAGATTATAATCAGTGTGTCACACTATGGCTCTGTGTGTGTGGGCACTAAGTTAGAATGATGTAGGTAATAAGGTAATCCAGAGGCTGGGAAAGGGTTTGAGATGGGGAGAGAGTGGGGTGGGGGTGTGGGGGTGCAGGTTGAAAATCTGGAGCATGGCTCCAAAGCAAGCTCGAGCACTAACAACAGCAACAAAAACAACTTGGATTTATATAGCGCCCTCCACGCCCGACGGCATCTCATTTACACAGCGCCTTTCACATCAAGAGGATGTCCCAAGGCGCTGGACAGTGAAGGGTTTGCACCCAAACTGCAGGCTGGAGTCCAAAATGGTGAAGGGCAAGTGGGGGTAAATGGTGGGAGGATCACCAAAAGCGTGGCCGCCGAGGGTGGAGCGGAGGACTCGGGGGTGCAGAGGAGTGCAGGGACTTGAATACGAGGGTGAGGATCTTGAAGTCGATCCTCTCTGGGGTAGGCAGCCAGTGCAAAGTGTGGAAATGAAAAGTCTAGGTTTTGTGCAGTGTGGGGGGTCTCCAAGACCTTTCTCTTTGACCGTGCCTTCAGCTCCCCTCTTGACTCTCTACCCCCTCCTCGCTCCCTCCCTTCCCTCCCCTCACCCTGACCATTTCCCCCCTGCTCGAGTCCTGACCCAACTGTACAGCGCCTTGGGACGTCCTCCCGACGTGAAAGGCGCTCTATAAATGGAATCTTGTTGTTGTTGTGTGACGTATCTTTCTGAGGTTGAGAGCAAGCAGAACAAATGTTGTCCCAAGTGTTGTACGTGTGACATCAGGTAGCCAAAGATTGAGTGTGTGTTTTTCCCTACACGGATATCTCTCTTCTTGATGTGCACAGACGTCATGAAAAATAGTCACTAAAAAAATCCTGTGCATTCAAGAGCAACATTGTAAACCTTTTTAATATTTACACGTTTCCATTCGTTGATATCATGCGCATGGGGTTAACTTCCATATGTATGCGGATAATACCCAACTCTATCACTCGGCCTCCACCTTCGAATCCAGTACCACTGCTATCCTGACGGACATCAAGTCCTGGATGAGAGCCAATATTTCTCCAGGAATGCCGACAAGACCAAGACCTTCCTGCTTGGCTCCCATCAGCGCCTCTTCACCGCAGGTGCTTACAGCATGACTAATCATGGATGCACTCTACAGCTAAACCTTGGTGTCTTAGTTTAACTTCCAACTGTCTTTTGAAACCCAAATTCACGCCATGACATGCTCTGCCTTCCCCTACCTCTGCAACATTGTTTGCCTCTGTCACCTACCCTCAGGCTGCCCAAATTTGCAGTTTTGTAGAACTTACAGGAAAAGTACGTCAATTGCAAAGTGTGGTATCCTGAGCAAAAAGAGCCATTTTAGAGAGGAGTATGTGTGTGTTGGGGGTGGGTGGGATTTGGGAGATAGGTTTCAAGATTTATGTGAAGCTTTAGAGAATATTTGTTTTAGCCATTTTAAAACAGGTTTGTGTTGAAGTTCCTTTGTTCTCTTTTGCTCGTTGGACAAGTTTGCGAAATTCTGACTGCTTGTGGGATATTGCTGCCGGCAAATTGGCTGCCACCTACACAAACACGCAGTTACTACATTTTACAGTAAATCCTGTGAAGTGCTTTGACATGTTCTCCTGACGTGAAAGGCACTATATCAAATGCAATAATTATTATTATTAAAAGACACCTCTAATGGCGAGGGTGCCAAGTGTATCAACTAATGCATCTTTCTTGACTGTATTCATTTGTGATTAACAAATCTAAGGCCTTTTAGAGAAACAAAGGGATCGAGGGATTCAGGTTCACTAAAAGTATCAGCACAAGTGGTCAAGGCCATAAAGAATAAATGAACGCGAAATACTGCATCATTTACACCTCTTTAACCCATCATTCCCTGTCCTCTACCCCATTTTCTTCTTTGTCTTCCTTGCGCTGCCTCCCTCTCTGTTAGCCCTTAAAAAACTCCCCCTCCCAAAATGGCCCAGTTCTGACGAAAGGAGTGGACCCGAAATGTTGACTCCTTCCTTTCTCCATAGATGCTGTCTGCTGAGTGTTCCTAGCGACTTGTATTTTTATATAGATCCCTTGGTTTAAGTACAAAGGAGGAGTATAAAATTAGGGAAGCAATGTTACATTTATATGTCCATATTCCGTATCAACCTGCCCGCCCCCTCCGCTCAACGGGCTCCGGCTTGCTCCATGTCCCCTGCCCTACCTGCCCTACCATTGGTGGTTGGGGCTTCAGTCTTTCTTGCCCACTCCATCCCACAGTCCCTTCACCTCCTTCAAGGCCTGCCTCGAGACCCACCTCTTCAACTGTGCCTTTGGTCACCCTCTTACCAGCACCACCCCTACCCTCCACCCCTCCTGATCTCAACCACGAGCTTGGGTCCAAATCCCTGACTGTCCAGCACCTTGGGACATCCTCCCAACATGAAAGGCGCTTTACAAATATAGTTTATTGTAGTAGTAAATCAGACCACCATGCATGATTTTCATGTGTATAAACACTTGTCGAAGGATGTCATGTTTCAGAGACAATAAAGAAACCGTTCTTCCTCAAAAGCAAAATCAATCTTTAATCACTTTTGGTTCGCAACACTGGACAGAAAGCGTTAAAGCCATTCCATTTAGGAAACACTAGTCAAAAGAAGTTCTGGTGCGATGTACACACCTTAGGCAAATTTGCAAAATCAGAAATAAAGTACTAATCACACTGCTTTTGTCTTATCTATGAATATTGTAGGCGTGGTTGTCTATACGATGAGCAGATATAAGCCTCAGTTACGTGCAGTTCACAGTCTGGGGTAGTTATGATTCTGAGCAATGGAAGGACACGAGTTTGGCTTATGGCTGGGATTTTCAAGGACGCTGATTCAGGATATCCAAGCGCTTGATAACTTTGTCAGTACTTAAACAAGTGGGCGGGATAGGAGACGATCGGCTATTGCGGCTATCACTCATCAGGGAGAGTTGGCTTTGGGCAATGATTGGCAGATCAAAGCTGTATCTCAACTGGATGTTGGGCTCTGGGGTGGAAGGTACCAGGAGCCAGTATTTGGAAACCTTGGGAACCATTCCCTGGGGCACTCAGGAGATATCCCCATTTCCCATATAGCCATGTCACCCCTGCTCATGGATCATCTCCACACATTGGAACATTTAGACTTGAGACTTCAAATCCCCAAATAAAAGTAAAATGTCACGTATTATTAATGCCTTCACCCACCCTTCCTCCGCCACTCTCCCTACACCCCTCCTGACCCCAACTCCCAGCTCAAGTCCAAAACCCCTGATTGTCAAGCACCCTGGGATGTCTTTCTGACATGAAGGGTGCTATACAAGTGTAATTTGTTGTTGGTGGTGTTGTTAATACAAAATACTATGTCTACACAATATGTTGTTTTTTCTGAGACGAAAGAGTGAATATATAAAGAATCCACTTTACATGAGATTGTCGGGATGTGAAAGGCACTTTTATATAGAACGGGTATATAATATAATGGAGATAATTCAGTCAGGAATAGATCTGTTGTTGTGTGAGAAATACAAAATACCGTTCTCTAAAACACACGGAGCACCATGATAAATGCTGAGATTGGAATATAAAAAAAACTTGCATTTAATAATACTCAGCTCAAATTATTCAGCATTCCAGAGTATATGTGGGTGAGGTCAAACTCTAGGAATTTCTTAATAAGGAATCTAAGGAATCCGCTGCTGTGGAAAATGGATCATGTTGGGAGGGAGGAGAGAGTATCCATCGTTTTGACTCTTAATTAAAGAATCCTATTAGGAAATACCACAAGTTAGACCCCCATCTATATAATATATATATAGAATGTAAAATATGCGCATTGAAAGATCGACATAAAAATATATTTGCAGGTTTTTAACCTATTCTGATGGAACCTACTATCAGGTGTCCTCGTGCGGAATAAAACATATTATTGTCATGAAGCAGACACACAATCAAGTCAGCAAGTGCAACAAAAAGCTTTGAAGTAGATCTACTGGAATCGGTGTTGTGTAAATACACCTGGTATACGTTGGCAGATTACATGGTGCAATTTTCTTTGGATTCTTCTCCTGCTCTTTGGTGCTAATATCTGTTTCTTATGGTCCAAATAATTATAATTACATAGAACACTAATGTTAGGACGGTGGCTGCGATATTCAGGCGCTTGGCAATAGTGGAGTAACTTCTAGCTCCCTCTGTGTCACGGATCACAATTCGATCTCTTGCCTAAAGAAAACAGAAAATGTTTATTTCATCCATTCCTTCTCATCCATTTCCTTCAGCCTTGAATAAGCTGGGTGGGGCTGCAGAGCACAATTTGCTACAAAGCACTTTTTTTGGGGCCTTAAACTGACTGGCTCTACTTCTCCATTTGGTGCTGCTCTGTGCTGTAGCAAACCATGTCACTAACATAATACTAATAATCCTTGTATTCGATATAGCGCCTTATCACATCTTCAAGACGCCTCAAAGCGCTTCACAGAATATACTGTAAAGCGAATTGACTGTATATTTTGTGGGCGAAACGCGGCAACCAATTGCGCACAGCATTGTCCCACGAACACTCGTGGATCGAGTACCCAATTTATTATTAATTTTTTTTGTGGACATGTCACAATATCCATTCCAAAACTTTCCATGGTGAGATGCATGGAATTCTCAGTTTGGTTTGGATACTCTTAAACCCAGTTACGGGTTTCTGCATGAGTCAGAAAAAATCCCAAAAAAGGACCCTGTATAGTATAGTGAGATGCAACAAAAAATTATATTTGTATAGTGCCTTTCACGCTGGGAGAATGTCCCAAGGCGCTGGACAATCAGTGTTTCGGACCTGGGCCAGAGGGGTGGGATCGGGGAGGGTGGGAAGGAGGATGATCGAAGGCACGGTGGAAGTAGAGGGTCTTGAGATGGGTTTTGAAGGAGGCAAGGGAGGGGGCGAGGCAGAGGGACTGCAGGATGGAGTTCCAGAGGGAGGGGGCAGGGTGGCAGAAGGCCCGCCCGCCAATGGTGGGCCTTGTGAGGTGGGGGTCGTGAAGCAGGCCGGAGCCTGCTGAGTGGAGGGAGCGAGGCCATGGAGAGCTTTGAAGGTGAGGACCAAGATCTTGAACTGTCTCCTCTGTGTGATGGGAAGCCGGTGGAGTCAGGCGAGGATGCGGGGGTGATAGGGTCGCGGAGCCTGGTGCGGAAGAGGATACCAGCTGCAGAGTTCTCGATGATCTACAGCCTAAGGAGGGAGAAACTCACTCACATGTAAAAGCAAAGTTAAGCAAAGTGAAGTGAAATGGGGAGCAGAATACTAGGAAAAACAAACTGGCTCATCGGCTGGACGTGGAAGGGCAGACCAGTCCCTGGGGATCATGGAATCCTCCCACTCAACTCCTGTTGCAACAACAACAACAACAACTTGCACTTATACAGCACCTGCACGCAGGATAGTGTCTCAGAGCGTTTAACATTCACGGAGCCTGACACCCAGCTAGCCACCGCCCCCGTTAACCCTGCAAGCAAAAGCCTAGTGGTACAAGCAACGGGAAAGCTTGTCAGACAGCCATATCAATGGCAAGCTATGCCATTTTAGCCGGTTAGACTCCAGCAGTACTTGCCAACCTGCACCTATTACTATCCGGATTTAAGTAAGCAGGATTCATCTCTCCAGGGAGAGAGTGCGATTCCATTCCAGCAATTTCCATGGTGGGATGCATGGAATTCTCAGTTTGCTTTCGATACTCTTAAACCCAGTGATGGGTTTCCGCGTGAGTCAAGATACCCGGCTGACTCCCCCCAAAAAAACGCTGTACAGAATAAAAAGATATTTTGTGAAAGTGCACTAATAGAACCAGGACTGTAATAGTAATAGTTCATCACAGAGTATTAATATCAGCCTGCACCCTGAGAGAGGTTGTAGACTTCTTCGCCTCAAAGATTAAAAACATCTGCTTGGCTGCATCATCCACCCCCCAAATGTCCCTTTCCACCATCCACACTGCCTTCTCCATCCTCTACGGCTCCGGCTATTCCCCACTCATTACACTCCTTTGCTCCCATTTCTCCCTCCTCCCTCTCAAGCTCACAATCACCCACATGAAGTTCACCACCTGCTACCTCCACCCCGTCCCCACCCCGAGAAAATCCTGGTATCTTCCCCGGGTACCTCGTGGCTTCCCATTCCCCCGACTCTTTATTTATTTGTTCGAATGCACAACATTCTGATTCAGTGGTGATGGCGCTACAGACTGAGTCAGGCTGACGCCTGAGATGCAGGTGATCAATGTTCTTTTTCCCTGTATCACTGCTCCGACCGACCATTCCTTGCCAAAGTCCTGGGAGGCATTGCTGCAAGTCAATTTCGGTCACGCCTCTCCTTCCACTCCCCTCTTGAGCCCCTGCAGTCTGGTTTTTGTCAAAGTCACAAACGACATCCTCTCTATCTGTGACCAGGGCTCCCTCTGCCTCTTCGTCCTCCTGGATCGCTGCCGCGTTCGACACAGTTGACCACGCCATCCTCCTCCACTGCCTCTCCTCCCTCATCTTCCTTAGTGAGTCCTACTTAACCAATCGCCTACATTTCATCTCAGCAAATGGTTTCTACTCACGCCCCCGCCCGGTCACCTGCGGGGGACCCTTGGACTCCATCCTTGACTCTCTTCTTTTCCTTATCTATATGCTCCCTCTGGGTAATGTCATCCGCAGACACCCGGTAAACTTCCACATGTATGCGGATGACACACAAATCTACTTTGCTTCCTCCAGTACCAACTCCAGGTCCACCGATGTTCTATCACCTTGTTTGGCAGACATCAGGGCCTGGATTAGTGCAAACCTCCTACAGCTGAATTTCGACCGGACAGAAGCCATACTCCTTGGTCCCAACGTCTTCACTCCTGCGAATCTAAACTCCTCAACCTCCCTGGGCTCTCCCTCAGAGTCACCGAACCAGTGTAGAATCTTGGCGTCCGGTCCCTGACCAGGACCGTCTTCTTCCACCTCCAGCACATTGCCCGCCTCCGACCTTACCTCACCCCAAATGCAGCCTAAACCCTGGTGCATGTGTTTGTCACCTCCGACCTGGATTACTCCAACACACTCCTCGCCGGTCTCCCCAGCTCCACCATTCACAAGCTCCAGCTCATTCAGAACTCTGCCGCCCGCTTACTGACCCGGACCAAACTCCGTACCCACATCTCTGGCCCAGGCTCCACTGGTTCCCCATCACCGAACCGATCGACTTCAAGAAACTCACTCTCGTGTTCAAATCCCTTCACTCCCTGACACCTCCCGACCTCTCCGACGTCCTCACTCCCCAATCCACCATCCGGCGCCTCCACTCGACTGGCACCGGCCCTCCTGCTCGACCCTCCGCCCCACCATCAGAGGTCGCGCTTTCAGCCACTACGCCCCGAAACTCTCGAACACAACTCCCTCAATCCCTCCGCCCTTGCCCCTTCTCTGCCCTTTTTCAAGTCCCGCCTGAAACCTTTCCACTTCGACCGTGCTTACAGCCACCTCCCCCCCCCCTCCACCGGCTCGGAGTCAGGCTCCGCCACTGTTAAGCGCTCTGAGACGCTGCCCTGTGTGGAGGGCGTTATATAAGTGCAAGTTGCTGTTGTTGATACTGCTCTATGGGTAAAAGGTTCAGGTATATACATACAGACACACACATACATACCTGAAGTCAAGAGTCATGAGCCTCACTCATGCCAGTGAAGAAACAAACTTTTTTTTAATTTAAAAAGAAAATACGTCTCAAGTTCAAGGTTAGCTCTCGCCCTTTCTTGTTGACTTGTTTTTTTGTGTGTGTGTGTGTGGAGGGGGGGGATGTGTAAAAAAAAAACAAGTCGATTGGCTTTCAGGCTTCTGATTAAACTTTTTTAATATATATTATATAATAATAATAAAAACTTTTGCAAATATATGGTTTTAATGCAACATTATGACATATGAAAAACTTTATAAAAAAGTTTCCCCAACCAACCAACCAACACCCTACACCCCCACCAACAACCCCCACCAACATCCCCCCACCCCCACCAACACACCCCCCACCCCACCCACCAACACCCCCCACCCCCCCAACACACTCCCCACCCCCACCCCCACCAACACCCCCCCCCACCCCCAGCCCCACCAACAGCCCCACCAACACCCCCCACCCCCCCAACACACTCCCCACCCCCACCAACACCCCACCAACCCCCCCCACCCCACCCCCCACCAACACCCCCCCACCCACCAACACCCCCCTCACCCACCAACACCCCCCCACCCACCAACACCCCCCCCACCCACCAACACCCCCCCCACCCACCAACACCCCCCCACCCACCAACACCCCCCCCCACCCACCAACACCCCCCCCCCACCCACCAACACCCCCCCCCACCCACCAACACCCCCCCCCCACCCACCAACACCCCCCCCACCCACCAACACCCCCCCCCACCCACCAACACCCCCCCCCACCACCAACACCCCCCCACCCATGGCCCCACCCACCAACACCCCCCACCCCCCCACCCATGGACCCCACCCATCAACACCCCCCCAACCCCCCCCCCCACATGGCCCCCCCACCCCCCAAAAAAAAGCAGCGCTCACCTTGACGGAGTAGACCAGGGCGATGAATCCAAGGAGGCAACAGTCCAGATAGACGGTGTTGAACACGGACCAGAGGACGTGATCGCGGAGCGGCGGAGGGTCACCGACGCCCGCGGGGACCCGGGGCACTGCCGCGGGTTGGGCGGCGCCGGGGCTGCACACCGCCTGCCGCCCATCCGCATGCGGGTACAGGGGCGGCTGCATCGGCTGGGAGGCGCCGGGGTACCGAGCCCCGTCCAAGAGGGGGTACTGGGGGCCATATAGCTGCTGCTGGTCCCCCCCGGGGTAAGGGTAAGGGTAAGGGTAGGGGTGGGGGTGGGTGTAGGGGGCGACACCTTTGCCCTCGCAGTACTGGGGCGGTGGCACCTGCTGTTGGCCGGGGTTGGGGTACAGGGTCTGCTGTTTGCCTTCCATTGCTCCGGCGATCTCAGGGAGTTTGGGTTGTGGGCTTTGTTTTTGGGGGGTGGGTGTGGGGTCGGGGGGCAGAGAGGGGGGGGAGAGGGGGAGAGAGGGAGAGGGAGGGACGTGACGCCTCCTTCCTTTTTATTCTTGTGTCAGTCCTCAGCTGGAAGGCGAGAGGGAGGGAGAGAGAGACACAACACACAGAGGGAGAGAGAGAGAGAGAGAGACAACACAACACACAGAGGGAGAGAGAGAGAGAGACACACAACACAACACACAGAGGGAGAGAGAGAGAGAGACACACACAACACAACACACAGAGGGAGAGAGAGAGAGAGGGAGAGATGCAATGGGGGTTGTGGTACTCACTCACTCACTCACTGAGGAAGGAGAGCTGAGTTGAGGAGAAGCCAAGGGAAGCTCTGTGTGTGCGTATTTTCTCTCTCTCTCTGACCTGGTTTTGGCAGTCAACAACAAGTTGAGCCCTCCCTCTCTCCCCCTCCACCCCCTCACTCACCCCCTCCCCCAGTCAGGACAGCTGGATGTTGGCTATTAATATAATTGGAGTGCTTTTTTTTTTTGGTCCATCCACATCTGGTAACTGCTAATATCCTATGTTCTTAAAGGGTAAACAGTTTCGTGTTTGCTGGAAAAGATGTTGCCCCATTTGCGGGGAAGGGAGAGGAAGAAAGAAAGGAAGGAAGAAAGAAAGAGAGAAAGAGAGAGAGAGAGAAAGAGAGAGAGAGAGCGACGTGACTCACAAGGATGTTTTAACCAAATGGGACAAACGAGAGGTTTCCTTTCCAGGGTCGGGAAGGGATCGGGGAGCAGGAGCGCCGATAAATGGGGTTTAAGGTGGCGGTGGATGTTAAATCAGATCCGAACCGATATGACAGTTGGCGAGTCCGGGGAAATTTAGGAGGAACTTGCTTGTGCAGAAGTTGGCAACGGATGTGGAACTCGATGCCAAGCCCTGAGATTGTAACAACAACTCGCATTTGGAAACAGCACCTCTCACGCGAGGTGACGTCTCGGAGCATTTGAAACAACAACAACAGCAGCAAATTGCTTTTATATTGCGCCCTTCACTTCGGGAGGACGTCCCAAAGCCCTGAAACAAAAAGCAGCAATGTATTAAAGAGGAAACGGGATGCGTAAACACATGTAAATGCTTGTGGGAAATGCAAATTGTTTTTCCTGTTGGTCCGCCCTATGAATGTTGGACAAGTTTACGGCCTTTCTGGCCCCATCCTCTCGACCTCTTTCCCCCTTTAAAGTCCGCCTTAAGTCCTATTGATTCAACGGGTTTGTAACTTTTGGTCTCCGTTCCTTGCAATCCAACACCCCCTCCCCCAACCGTCCTCTGCTCCCGCACCCTTCCCCCCCGGCTTGGATTCGCAGTCAGCTGTGAAGCTCTTTGAGATGTCCTCCCGATATGAACAGTGTTTTATTAATGTCGTTGTCTGTATGGCTTAGGTGTCAGCTCACTTGACTGTGGGACTGACCTTTAGATGCCCCAAATTAATAATAATAATCCTTGCATTTGATATAGCGCCTTATCACATTGGGTGAGGAGCTTGTGGTCTGGTCTGGATGCTGTGCTGTGCCTCTGGTTTGTTGGAGGGAGGATTCAAAACAGTTTGTTTTGTGAGTTAAAAAGTAGAAAGATGCTTCTTCCTCTCCCCAACCCCGGCCCCACTTTCCCTGATAACCTGAAAACTCAACTGTTCCAGAGGTTTTTCCCAAGAGCAATGTCTTTAGCGCTTGTCCTGTCAGGAGGACTTCTCAGAGTGCTTGACCTGGATCTTGCACTGGTGAATTTACAGCAGTTCTGAATTTACAGGTCCAATTCAATTAAATAGACCACAGATTAACCCAATAGTATGAATGTTATAGCACAGAAACGGGCCAATGGGCCCAAGAAACAGCACTCATAAATGCCCAATGCTATTGATTCCGCTAATATAAAGTCAGATCGTTGTTGTTGATTCCTATTACCAACGTCAGGACATTTGATTCACATTTTGAGTCTTTCTCAATGACTTGAGGCTATGAATTGAATGATGTGCACAAAACAACAACAAGACAAAAATTACATTTGTACAGCGCCTTTCACGTTGGGAGGACGTCCCACGATTGCTGGATACTCAGAGATTTGGACCCGAGCTGGGGATTGGGATCAGGAGAGGTGGAGGCCTGGGAGGGTGGTTGTAGGAGGGTGACTGAAGGTGCGGTAGAAGAGGAAGGTCTTGAGATGGTCCTTGAAGGAGCCAAGAGGGAGAGTGAGGTGAAGGGATTGTGGGATGGAGTTCTAAAGGGCAGAGAGACTGAAGACCCGACTGTCAATGGTATGGCGGGCCGGGCAGGGGACATGGAACAGGCCGAAGCCCGTTGAGCAGAGAGAGTGGATAGGAAGCGAAGACAACACACCAAGTTCATCAATTCAAATTTATTCCCTTGAGTTTCCCACATAGAGATTATGCAACTCGGAGTTCCAGTCAAACCCATAACAAGTGGGCTCACCAATGCAAAGATTTATACAGATCCCGGCACAATGGAACAAATTCACAACCCTCTGCGTTTTTAGAGATGCAAATATTTGAAAACTCCGATCAATGGAATGCAGGGAATTTCAAAGAAAACAAATGAAAAGCATCAATCATTGTGCTAGAAGTGTCCCAAAATCTGGTAACGTCTGAACACATCTGAACAGAAATGGGGTTATTCTTCACTTAGTGACTTTATCAACCTCTGCTGTTTGTGTGCCAGACATGTCATCCCATTAGCATTGCACAATAATGATGATTCGTTTACTGATGCAGAGAATGGGACCAGGAAGGGTGGAGGGCAGGGAGGGTGGGGGTAGAAGAGTGACCGAATGCACTGTCAAAGAGGAGAGTCTTGTGACGGGGCTTGAAGGAGGCAATGGAGGTGAAAGCATTGTGAGATTCATATACACAAATGTAGATATGATGCGTAGTGACTGAGGTTGGCCAGTTGCAGAGATGATAACATGTTTCAAAAATGCATTACATTTCTAACATTATTTTCCTGTCGTTGATATATCTAACACCAAGTGCAAAGGGGAAGTACAAGAATAATCTCTTTCAGGAGATTGTCCAGTGTAAGGAGAACAGAAGCGAGATGAAGGACACAGAAAAGCACTGAACAACAATGCATCACTCCTCGTTCTGTCATTGGGCCACAGATTTGCAATCAGAATCATTTGCAATCCGCACAAACACAAGGCATGCATAAATAATAATAAGATAATAATAATAAAAAGGAACTCGAGAAAATCAGGAAATTTGTTAATCGACAAATTGAATGTGGAAGTCTGTGGCAATGACCAATGAACAAAGATAGTTCCTATAATTGTTGGTGCAACTGGCACCAGACAATTCAAAAATGGTTTGACAAAATACCTCGTGAGCAAAATATCAACCTCCTGCCCAAAGTAGCTAATTTAGGAAGCTCAAATATATTAAGAAAAGTACTCATGTGGCAGTGTTATTGGTCTGGCTGACCATCACTGAATTTTTTTTTAGAAATTACTTCTACTTAAATACAGTGATTTAAACTGTAACGTAACAATAATAATAATAATAATAATCCTTGTGTTTGATCCTTGTATGTTGTCTGCTTCAAGCAAAATAATTTTGGTGTCGAACTCCAAAAGCTTTCTCTCAGGTGTCGTTGAAAGCCTCTTCTGGTCACTGTCAGATGTGCAGCACAGTAATGTACACGTAGTATGCAACGCAGCACATTATAAAGAGCATGGACAGGATAGTGGCTGAAATATTCAGACCTTTGGCAGCTTTGGCAAATTTCTTTGCTCCTCGGACGTTGTTTAAGTGGTTCTGGTCTCTTGTCTAGAAAAGAACAGGTAAACAAACATTTAAGCGCTGGATCATTTTTTAGCCTTATTTTTATTTGGAGAAAGTTGGTTAAATGTTACCTTTCAGGTTCTGCGATCTGTTCTAACATATTGAAATCAGTCGACAGGACTGGTTGGATTTCAATGCCATGATTCACGAGAATGATACCAGGAATGGGGAACCTTAGCTATGGGGACAGGCTGGAGAAGTTAGGAGTTTTCCCATTAAAGCAGAGAAGGTTACGTGGGGACCTGATAGAGGTCTTCAAGATCATGAAAGGTTTCGACAGATGAGATAAGGAAAAGCTGTTTCCGCTGGTAGGTGTGTCTGTGACCCGTGGTCACAGTCTTAACATATCTACCAAAAGAAGCAGAGAGGAGGTTAGAAGAAATGTTTTCACTCAGCGAGTTGTTTGAATTTGGAATGATCTGCTTGAAAAGGGAGTGAAGTCCGATTCGATAACAGCTTTTAAGAGAGAACTGGATAGGTATGTGGGGAAGGCAGGTTTCCAGGGTTATGGGGAGAAAGCTGGTGATTGGGGTTAGTGAAAGTGACTTGCTCTGTCAAAGAGCCGGCACAGACTCGATGGGCCGAATGGCCTCCTTCTGTGCCGTAACATTCTATGAATCTATGAAAAAAAATAATGTGAAACAAATGGGTTTCCTCATTAACTGAACCATTCAAACATCCTCGTGGCATTCTTCTGAACTGTGTTGACTTCCCCTATGGGGTGGGTGGCAGTTTTTGTAATAATGCATTCAATCACATTGAACATGTTATGAACTGCCGCAAATTTCACCCCTACTTGTTTTCTCTAATGCTTTATAGGGTGTCCCCACCCCGACCTTTGACTTATATGTTCCACAATGAGATCTACTTGAAAATCGTACTATTTTGCTTGTCTTTGTAATTGCTGTACTGTGCTGTTTTCATAATGAAGTGAAGCATCATGTGAACATTTGTAAGCAGTGCCACTCAGGAACCTTATTTGCACAGCTGATCCCCAGCGTTAGCCCACAATTAACATGAACAGATGATTTATTTCACGAACTTGGATTGGGTAACCTGACCTTTCCATATACCAGAGTATTTACCAGCAACCAACAAAGTAGACTGCAAGAGGAAGTGAAGACT